TTTTTTTTTGCAGTTTTTTTGGCTGGGGCTGGGTTTGAACCTGCCACCTCTGGCATATGGGGCTGGTGCCCTACACCTTTGAACCACAGGTGCTGCCCATGTTGAATTAATTTTTGTAAGTGGAGAAAGGTATGGGTTCAGTTTCAATCTTTTACACGTGGTTATCTAGTCCTCCCAGCACCATTTATTGAACAGGGGGGATTCTTTCCCCCAGTGTATGTTCTTATTTGGTTTATCAAAGATTAGGTGGCTTTAAGATGTTAGTTTCATCTCATGGTTTTCTGTTTGGTTCCAGATGTCTGTGTCTGTATTTTTGTGCCAATACCATGCTGTTTAGATCACTATGGCCTTGTAGTACAGCCTACAGTCTGGTAGGCTGATGCCCCCAGCTTTGTTTTTATTACTAAGAATTACCTTAGCTATATGAAGTTTTTTCTGTTCCATACAAAATGAAGAATTATTTTTTCCAAGTCTTCAAAGTATGATGTTGGTATTTTAATTGGGATGGCATTGAATCTGTAGATTTCCTTGGGAAGTATAGACATTTTAGTAATGTTGATCCTTCCCACCCATGAACATGGTATGTTCTTCCATTTGTTAATATCTTCTGCTATTTCTTTTCTTAGGGTTTCATAATTTTCTTTCTTTTTTTTTTTGAGACAGTCTCACTATGTCACTCTTGGTAGAGTGCCATGGTGTCACAGCTCACAGGAACCTCAAACTCTTGGGCTTAAGCAATTCTCTTGCCTCAGCCTCCCAAGTAGCTGGGACTACAGGCACCCACCACAGTGCCTGGCTATTTTATTTTGGTTGTAGTTGGCCTGGGCTGGATTCGAACCTGCCAGCTCTGGTGTATGTGGCTAGCACCCTAGCTGTTGAGCTACAGGCACCAAGCCTCATAATTTTCTTTATAGAGGTCCTTCACCTCTTTTGTTAGGTGTATTCCTAGGTATTTCATTTTCTTTGAAGCTACTTTGAAGTGAATTGTGTCCTTGATTAGCGTTTCATCTGGCTGTTATTGGCATATACAAAGGCTACTGATTTGTGGCTACTGATTTTATATTGTAAGACATTACTATATTTTTTGATCACTTGCAGAAGTCTTGTGTGACTGAGTCTTTTGAGTTCTCTAGTATAAGGTCATATCATTGACAAAGAGAGTTTGACCTCCTCTGCCCCCATTTGGGTGCCATTTATTTACTTCTCTTGCCTGATTATATTGGCTAGAAATTCTAGCATTGTGTTGAAAAGTAGTGGTGATAGAGGACAACATTGTCTAGTTCCAGTTGTAAGTGGAAAATCTCTCAGTTTTACTCCATTCAATATAATATTAGCTGTGGGTTTGTCATAGATGGCTCTGATCATGTTAAGAAATTTACAACCTTGGCCTATATTCTTTGGTGTTCTAATTAGAAAAGGAGGCTGAATATATTTTTTTTTAAGGACAGAGTCTCACTTTATTGCCCTTGGTTGAGTTCTATGGCGTCACAGCAAACCCCAACTCCTGGGCTTAGGCGATTCTCTTGCCTCAGCCTTCCGAGTAGCTGGGACTACAGGCGCCCACCACAATGCCTGGCTATTTATTGTTGTAGTTTGGCTAGGGCCAGGTTCAAACCCACTACCCTAGGTATATGGGGCTGGTGCCCTAACCACTGAGCCACAGGCACCGCCCAGGAAGCTGAATTTTATTGAACGTTTTTTTGCATCTATAGAGAGGATCATAAGGTCTTTGGTTTTGCTTCTTTGGTATGATGAATTATGTTTATGGACTTGTATATGTTAGACCAGCCTTGCATAACTGGGATAAAACCTAAATGATCATGATGCATGACTTTTTAAATGAGAAGCTGTAATCTATTGGCTAGGATTTTATTGAGAATTCTTTGCATCTGTATTCATTAGTGCAATTGATCTCAAGTTCTCCTTTTCAGTTGAGTCTTTTCCTGGTTTTGGTATCAGGGTGATCCTCGCTTTCTAGAATGTGCTGAAGAAGAGACCTTCATTCTCTATTTTTTGGAATAATTTCTCAACATACAGCTATAAGGTCTTCTTTGATGTTTTGATAGAATTCTGGTGTGAAGCCATCCAAACCAGGGCATTTTTTTTGTTGGGAGTTATGTCTTTAAAAATTCCATGAACAATTTTACTGTGATGTGTTATTCTTCCTGGGGTTTATAGTGTTATTTGAAAATATGGCTTGATGTCTTTGACATCAGTTTTGGCAAATTCCCAGCCATTTTCTCTTCAAATATACAATGATTGTAGCCTGAAGACAAGGAAAGGGAAAAATGACTCCTCTAAGATTATCATGCTATGATTTTCTCAGGTCCATTACTGAAGCCAGGAAGTGAGAAGGAAAATAGATCACAGTCATTCATTCGAGGAACAGTGTTTACACTTAGCTATTCTAGAGGCAGACGCCCCTAACTCCTCCTCTCAGAGGATCTTCTCTGACCTCTAGAATGAAAAGGTCAGCTGCCTTTCCTTATATCAACACCCATCTATCTCTATGCTTTTGGCAAAGACAATTCTACCCTACTACCAATAGCTCAAAAGCAAACAGTGGATGACCATTCTCTCACAGTGACAGAGAAAGTCAACAGCTTTAAAACTCATCTATGACTTAAAACGTTAACTAAAAAAATAAAAAGAGAAAGAAAACACAAGTTTTTAAGAGTACAGATGCTTTTAATATTTCTGTGTTATACATAGCTGAAACTTCAAGTATGTTTTACATTAGTAAAATTAATGGTAAAACTTATTCAATCAAGTTACCTAAAATACACCATAAATGGTAAAGATGGGAATTGAATGTTATCCATGATGCGTCTGATTCACACGGGGTCACTGAAGATTAGAAACTAACCTTGAATCTCTCAGGTTAACAACAATGCATTACAATTTGGAGAAAGCTCGCTTCTGGGTACCTCCCAGATGTCTGTAGAAGAAGGATAGAATTTGATTCCAAGCATCTACCTGGGCCCTAGAATGGAGCCTAGGCTCTCCACCCCAGACCACAGGTTTGTTCAATAACGTATGAAAGGAAGCTGGGCACATGGGGAAGTAAGGAGGCTCAATGTAATGCCCAGTCCCAGGGTAACAGATGATCTTGGGTTTCTCCTTTCCATGGGCCTGTAACCGTTCAGAAGCCATATGAGCATATAACTCACTCCTCCAGTTGTGGTCATCCTGACCAACAATGAAGAGGATGGGCCCCTGGGCTTTCTCTATTGGAATCATGCTGGGGTTCTCATACCCCCCAGCCATTTCATTTCCTATGTCCACAATGTCCAGGAGGCCTGAAAAAGTTACTTTGGTTCTCCTCAGGTCATAGCCCAATGGAGGGATAGTGGTCTGCTTATAGTGTATGCCTCTCTTTCCACCGGATGCAGATCCATTGATGGAAACTGTGGCTGAGACATTGTTCAAGAATGAGGCCATTGAGAGACAAATATCAGCCCCCAGAGAAATGCCCAAAAGCCCAATACCTGGGCCCTTTACCTAGAAGAAAAGAAGAGAGAAGAATTAAAAACTCATCTAACACAAAAATATTTTTCTGGAATGCAACTAGAGATGTTGCTAGCTAATGCTAGCTAATGAATCTGGGAATTATCCACAAGAGAATTAACCACAGATGACAGTGGAGTTTCTTCCCAGGTATTAAATATCTGGCTGCACATATGGCCAACAAATCTTAAACGCCTTGGCATATTTGATAATGTCCAGAGGATCATCCACCATAGAAAGCTGAGCTGCATGGAGCCTATCAAGTTCAGGGCCTCATTCAGGTAGCCCTGATACAAGTCTTAACAAGGTTGTGTATCCAATAGTGCAGGTGTCCTCAAACTACGGCCTGCAGGCCACATGTGGCCCACCTAGGACATTTATCCGGCCCGCCGGGTGTTTTTGCCACCACTCTCTGTCCTGCTTAGTAGCCGACTCATCCCGGGGCCAGAGGGACAGTGAATTGGCCCCCTGTTTAAAAAGTTTGAGGACACCTGAAATAGTGTATATCTAAAATTCTGTTCCAAGATGTGAATCATTGATCAATCCCCATCAACGTATACTGGTAAATGATTATAATGCAAGGCTAAGGTGTCCAAATAAGTAGTTCTTAGCTTCTGAAAGGAATGGACAAATGCTGATGAAAATCTGAGAACATAATCTGACATCAGAAAATTAAAGTGTGCAAAGATAATGAAAGTTTGATTTGGATTAGAAAGGGATTTTATTATTACTAAATTAAATCTTACATAGATTTTATGATTAATACTATATTATGAATCTATTAGATCAACTCTAAATAAGTGGTTGAAAGCTGGCACCTTCAACCAAGGAAGTCACCAAAAGAAATCTCCTTTGTGAAAGAAAATAGCAGCATCGCTGCACCTAGTACAGGTGACACCCTCCATGGAAATGTTTCTAGAAAGCCTGATTAAATAAAGGATATGGGAGAACCTGAGGGTGCTGAAGCATGTAGCACAAGGCTTCTTCAAAGTACTCCAAGTGTATGCCATCCATTTGCTTGGGGAGATCTTCAAAGTCATAATAAGCTAAAGCCAATGTGGCAAAACCATGGCCAGCCAGAAGGCTGGCTCGATATTCCAACAGGCCCCCTCCAAGACCAAAGATGTCAATGATCCCTGGGAAGGGTCCAGGTCCTAGAAAACAGAAATTATAAAGGCAAGGCATTATGCAATTTAAAGACTTTGCTTTCCTTTACACACCATTCTAAATCCTAAATCTAGTGGGCTTCTGTAATTGAAGGAAAGACAGCAAATGCCTGAGTCATTACTGGGAAGGGATACGAAGGTCCTTGGAGACAGAGAAATCTAAAACCCAGAGTACCTTCTCATGGATGATTTGACCCTCCAGATGATTCTATGGTAATTGATTGGCAAGATTCTAAGAATCTTTAAGTGACAAAGTCTTTTGTTAATGAATAAATATATCATGGAAGGAGGGATTTCATATTTTAGACAGTGTTAACTCAGTGTACTATTGAAAACTGGACACAGAATTAACAATCTGGGCTGGGTGTGTGGGGGGGGTGCATTGGCTCAGGCCTGTAATCCTAGCACTCTGGGAGGAGGAGGCAGGTGACAGTAGGAGGTAGCTTGAGCTCAGGAGTCTGAGACCAGCCTGAGCAAAGCGAGATCTCTCTCTACTAAAAATTAAAAAACTAGCCAGGGCTCCACACCTGTAGCTCAGTGGTTAGGGTGCTGGCCACATTCACTGGGACTGATGGGTTCAAACCCAGCCTGGGGGTGCTAAACAAACAAACAAAAAATTTCCTGGTGTTGTGGTGGGAACCTGTAGTCCCAGCTATGTGGGAGGTTGAGGCAAGAGGATCACTTGAGTCCAAGAGTCTGAGGTTGCTGCGAGCTATGATGCTGAGGCACTCTACTCAAGGTGACAAAGTGAGGTTCTGCCTCACACACACACAAAAAGAATTAATCTGAATCGAATCTTTTGGTGTGTGTGTACTGATATTTCAGACATCTATTTTAAAAAAGAGGAAAGAATTAGAAATATCTAGAGATGGCTTTAGGTGAGGAAGGCATAGTGTTGGTATTATGATCTGTAGTAAAGCCAGCCATGAAGAAGTGGAGAAAAGGCCCAGTGTGCCCAGGACAGTAGGGAAGACATGGCAACAAACTCCTTGACTGTGAGTTTTTTGTCTAAGAACAGTGGGGCTGATGTAGGGGAGTGCTTAATAGCACAGAGGACAGTGCACCTACCAACCTGCCACTAGCTTGTTTGTTTTTTTTTGAGACAGAGTCTCACTATGTCGCCCTTGGTAGAGTATCTTGGCGTCCCAGCTCACAGCAATCTCCAACTCCCGGGCTTAAGAGATTCTCTAGCCTCACCCTCCCAAGTAGTTGGGACTACAGGTACCCGCCACAATGCCCCACCATTTTTTAGTTGTAGTTGTCATTGTTGTTTAGCAGGCCCAGGCCGGGTTTGAACCCACCACCGGCTAGCGTCCTAACCGCTGAGCTATGGGCGCCGAGCCCTGACACTAGCTGTCAATCTGCAGTGTCAAACAAACGCACACTGCAGAACTAAATATCAAAATCCTCCGTTGTGATCGAGTGGCTACTGGCAGTCAATGCCAGCTTTTCCGACCTGTCTCCAGAGCCAAACCCCAGCTGGAGCAGCACAAAAGC